GGGAGGGATCCCTAACTTCGAGATGGGTCATTAAAGCCAGTGAATACTTCAAGCTCGGAAAGCTCTGCCTTTTAGATTTCGTTGTCTGGTACAATAAATTTCAAATTAAACGGCCTAAATAAAATTAATTAAACGTAAATAACCTGCATACTATCAGGTGCTCTATTTTCTTTTCTCTTGTCGGTACGCTTATGGCGGCATTTAGCAAAAAAAAAAAAAAAAAAATCATGGAATTAAGGAACTGGAATTATGGATATTTTCGTAAAAATAAACAGCTTACAAGAAAATTTCTTTGCTTGGCGTTTGGGAAAACCAATTTTAGTACTTTTTTATTTTTTTAAAAGTGTATTTTTTCGCTCATATGGCTACTATTTAAGTAGATTTAGTTACACCTGCACGAGATCAAGGAATTTAAAAAGCTTAAATTCCTTGATCTCGTGCAGGTGCAATTAAATCTATTTAAATAGTAGCCCAGTTAAAGACTGGGCTTTAAGATCTCAGATTAAGAGACTCTCACAAGTGCTGGCAGTTGCATTTACGATAGTGACGTGCTTGCTATCAAAATCTCATAAATACGAAACGTGTGTTTCGGAATGGCGGAAACAACCGGTGGTTCGCTTGTGAACATATCCATACACATGATTATATGTCCAATATGTACATATATGCATATATCCAATTAACTTACTTACGGTCACGTTCAATATGTTGATGGTACTGTGTTGAATATCTTATAAAATACTTTGGAAGTATATGTAAAAATTGGTCCTGAAACGGTAACCATTTTATATATTAATTAATTATGTGGTGCTTGCTTGTTGTCGGTTATTAGAATCGTTTCATTAAATTCTGACGGAGCTTATCGTAGGTTAAAAATCTAAGTTAGCATAGTTATGTTAATGCTTATGCATATACATATGGTTACATTAAAGTATTAATGCACATGCAGCTGTGTACTTCTCGTACATTCGCCTCTGCGATGCATGTTCAGCACTTATGCCGTAAGACGGGAAACCGATAAGTTGCCGATCATATTACATTTGGTCGTCTCTTTTAAAAAGGGTATTATGTAATTGTGCAAATGTAAGTAACAGGCAGAAGGAAGCATCTCCGACCCCATAAAGTAAATATATTCTTGATCAGCATCATTAGCCAAGTCGATATAGCCATATCCGTCTATGTTTGACCGCAAGGATATCAGAACCTATAAGAGCTTGAGACTTGAAGTTTTAGCTGTAGGTCCTCCTAGTGCCTGCGCAGATCGAGTTTGTTTCCGATAATCGCTAACTTACTCCGATTACAAGCAATCGATATAAATCGATATCGACATCCTGTTTATTGAGCAAATTAGGTAAAAATTAAGAGCAAGAATCAGCAAACATGAAATGTTGCTTCTAGAATATTATATATATATCAAGGATCTGTCATTTAATACCTATCGCCACCTCCCCGCTACCACCACAAAGCTATAAATCAACTTAAGCCATAATTTTATTGCAATTTAGTTTTTGAGAGTACACAAATATTCTATGTTACAATAAGATGTACTGTAGAAAATTTCATAAAGATCGGTTAAGAAATAACCAAAGGTTTATGTAACTGCGCAATTGGATGGGACAGCTAGCGTGTATACATGTACACATAAGTACTTAATTATTAGTGTGGCTGCTGAGTCGAGGCATAGCAAGTCTGCCGCGAGTTCGAGCCCTACCGGGGAAAATATTTTTTTTTTTTGCTGGTAGAGTCGACAGTGGGTAATGCGTTCAGTTGCGAGTACGAAACCTGCCAAGGGAACTTTTTTTTTTAATTTATTTGGTGTTGGAATAAAAGTGTTCAGCGTATTCCGTTTTCGAGAGCTCCCGACTAGAAACTCTTACTTGTTATACCATTGCAGAACCTTTCACTTGCTTGGTGTTGCCTTTAGTACACTAATTCGATTTCAAATTCTACAAGTGTTCATTATATTCAATTGAACTTCGTTCTTAGTTATTTAATTTAATAAAGTAGTGAGTAATTATGGTAAGTTTTGATCAAAAATGATAAAACAATTTAATATTCCTAGTAACCTGGACCACATATAAAAACGACATCCCAGAAGTCAACTAGAAGGATAAACGCATGGCCAAATCGGCTGTGGCCTAAAACGTATCAAATGGCGTGATTAGTTTTTGAAATTGTCCAAGTTTAAATAAAATAAAGATAAAAGAATTTAGAAAACTTGTGGAATGTTTTAAAATTAATTTTTATCTTACGAATTCTTTTTTAAAATTATAATCATTATTTAATTCTAATTAGTTAAATTTTTAATTATTATTAATTAAGTCTTAAATTTTTATTAAAATTTAGAAGCACTGGGTTGTAACCGAGTTATACTAGGCACTTCTCGAATAATGAATTTTCGCACATTGTGTCTTTACTTTAACAAAGTTATTAAACAATCGTAGAGGGCCGATTGGGCCGATTAGCAGCGAAGCTTTTAAAATTTTCCATTCCACCCATTTAGGTAAGTTTACATTATGAAGAAAGTCTTACTTTTAGACCGCCGGTTTCATGTCATGCTTCTGATTTGCCCTCTGACCACTAACAGATAACCTAAAAACGTATTTCAACATTTCCAAACGTCGGTGTAGTGAATGTGCAATCTAACATATATATATTTAAATTTAAAAAAATATAAGAAAACAATGCAAAAACCTTTCCAGTGCATATTATTCTTTTGTTTCATAAAATCGATTGTTGGAATGAAAGAAGGTAAGTTAACGCATATATTTACATTTTAAATATTCTAAGATTTATAATATAATGCTGATTTTGTCGACCTTACCATTTAATTAATCATAATTTATCTAGCACGAGGTCTGGCATATAAACAACAAAAATTAAAAACAATTTTTATATTTTTATTTTTATACCCTGAACCCATCGTGTAACATGTAAAAGTGTACATAACAGGTAGAAGGAAGCTTCTCCGGTCCCATAAAGTATATATATTCTTGATCAGCATCAATAGCCGAGTAGATCTTGCCATGTCTGTTTGTCCATCCGTCTGTCCGTATGTATGAACGCAAGGATCTCAGAACCTATAAGAGCTAGGGACTTGACTTTTAGCTGTAGGTCCTCATAGTGCCCGCGCAGAATGGTTTTGTTTCCGATATTCGATAAATTGTCCCGTTTCCAACTAATCGCTAAAAATCGATATCGAAATCCTGGTTTTTCAGTTATTTTGGTAAATAATACGAGGTAGACACACCAAACTTGACATGTAGCTTCTAAAATAGTATATATATATTAAGTATCTTACATTTTATAGCTATCACCACCTCCTCGCTACTTACTCATAGATATAAATCAAGCAAGTAGTAGGGTTCAGCGTATCCCCTCTTACTTGTTATACCATTGCAGAGGGTATTATAATTTTGTCGTGAAATATGTAACGAATAGAAGGAGACATCTCCGACCCCATAAAGTATATATATTCTTGATCAGCATCAACAGCCGAGTCGATAGAGCCATGTCCGCCTGTCCGTCTGTCAGTTTCTATGCGAACTAGTCTCTCAGTTAAAGCTATCTTTATGAAATTTTTGCAGAAGTCCCTCTTTCTGTTGCACGCAGCACATATGTGAAAATCAGCTGGATCGGACCACCACTGCCATAGGAACGATCGGTCGAAAATTAAGTTTTTGTATGAAAAAACATTTTGTTTCTCAAGATATCTTGACCAAACTCGGCATTTATTAGTTTTACTATGCTCCTCATATATATGCAAAATATTATTAAGATCGGACCACTATATCATATAGCTGCCATAGGAACGCTCGGTCGAAAATTAAGTTTTTGTATGAAAAACATTTTGGTTTTTCAAGAGAGATAGATATATCCAAACTCAGCATTTATTTGTTTTACTATGCTCCTCGAATATATGCAAAATACTATAAAGATCGGAACACTATATCATAAAGCTGCCATAGGAACGATCGGTCGAAAATTAAGTTTTTGTATGAAAGATATCTTGACCAAACTCAGCATTTATTAGTTTTACTATGCTCCTCATATATATGCAAAATATTATTAAGATCGGACCACTATATCATATAGCTGCCAGAGGAACGCTCAGTCGAAAACTAGGTTTTTGATTAAAAACCTTTTTTGTTTATCAAGATATCTTGACCAAACTCGGTATTAACTATTTTTCCTGTGCTTCTTAGATACGGGCAAAGCACTATAAGCATTAAGAAAAGGTTGGGTCTGCAAGTGTATTAGATCTTCGGCGTGATAGCCGAAGATAGCCTTTCTTTCTCGTTTTCATTTATTTTACTTTCAAGCTTAGAGTACATATCTCTAATAACTATGCTTGTGTAAATACACATTATATTTATGATTTAATAAAATAAACATGAATACATTTTTATAAAAAATCCTTGTTTTTCACTAAATTGAATAGGTTTTATAGATAAGGAACCAATAACATATTTTTGAATACGATCAATGTATTTTTTTACACGGTTGTTTCTGGAACCAATCTACTGTGTAAAAAGAGAATAGGGTGTACATGTTTTTTAAAACTTGATAAACTGGTATTTAACTGTAAATTGATAAGATACCAGGGGAAATTGTGTATATGGATACGCAAAAGCTTTATGTATATATAAGTAAGGACGAAATTTGAATAATTTTTGACTTCAATAAACATAGTTCTGTCTTCTTTGCCATCTCAAAGGCAATTTTGTATTTCTTATTTATTAAATAAATCAAACTTTTATCATTTCCAGCATACGCGATTTCAATAATTAAAATGTTTTAACTTAAAAGTTAAATGTGATCTTGAAATAATGACCTGAGCTTTAAAATGAAAAAACGAAAAAAGTATGCAAATACATGTGACCATGTGTACATTTGTACTCGTATATACACAAAGGTCATATTTTCTGATGTTTCCATCAGTCCGCAACAGCGCATGCGCCAGTTTAACAGTATTTTCACAAAATTTGTCTGATGAACGGGAAATTTATTTGCGCAGCTTAAAGGCTGTTAAAAGTATTATTAAAAGGTTTCTGTAGCAGTATAAAATTACCTCCCATCTATATAATTACATCAACTGTTAACTATAAATGTCTTATCTGTTAATAGAAAAGTTAATCATCGCAATATTAAAGCAACAAATTTGAGTATTTAAATTCAGCAAAAGTCTATACGTATAAATAATAACAGAAAAGTAAATGTGATTTTTCATTTAATCAAAGTGTAATCCCTGTAATCCATTATTCATATATAAATTAAATATTTCAAATATTATAATATTTTATTATTGTTTTTATTAGGTACATTTAATTGTACTTTGAAGTGCTGTGCCAAGTGATGTGCACGTACTTACCGGTATAATAAGTGTTCCAAATTCATATTTTTGACTTAAATATGAAAGCAATATTATTTGATCACAACTATAATATTTTACTGGTCGAATAACAAAGTACGGTACTACATTTTGTCAAGCACTAATTCATGTATTCAGAATTTTAATAGGATAAAGTTGTAAGTAACTACTTCAAAAATAAACACATGCCATTTTTACCATTTCGGAGGGCAAAGCAGCACCAAGACATGCAACCGTCACCGCTATGTCAGATATTTTCATGTCTTTAACTTCGGTCAAATAAGTGCGAGCTAAAAAGACAAAAGCATACCGAAGTGGAATGGACAATTCATGAAACCTTACCTGCTAGAGTTATGTATTGGCTATTAAATAGAAAAACGCAGAGTGTACACAAAGTATATATCAAAAGTGAAAACGTGCGCCTGCTCCTCTGCTTTTCATTATTATACCCTGAACCCATTAAAAATGGGTAAAAGGGTATAATGTATTTGTGCTAAATGTAAATGTATGTAGCATGCAGAAGGAAGCATCTCCGACCCCATAAAGTATATATATTCTTCGTCAGCATCAATAGCCGAGTCGATCTAGTCATGTCCGTCTGTCTGTCCGTCCGTCTGTCCGTCCGGATGTATGAACGCAAAGATATCAACACCTATAAGAGCTTGAGATTTGAAATTTTAAATGTAGGTCCTCCTAGTGCCTGCGCAGATCAATTTTGTTTCCGATAATCGATAACTTACTCCGTTTCCAAGCAATCGATAAAAATCGATATCAACATCATGTTTTTTTGAGCAAATTTGGTAAATAATAGGAGCTAGAGTCACCAAACTTGATATGTTGCTTCTAGAATATTATATATATATCAAGTATCTTTCGTTATATACCTATCGCCACCTCCCCGCTACCACCACAGAGCTATAAATCAATTTAAGCCAAAATTTTATTGCAATTGACTTTTTTGAGAGTACACAAATATTCTATGGTGCAATAAGATATACTGTAGAACATTTCATTAAGATCGGTTAAGAAAAAACCAAAGTTATATGCAGCTGCGCATTTGGATGGGGCAGCTAGCGAAAACTGCAAGAATTTCTGTGTAATGTACACACACACATTCATGCGCGTCTGCTTCGCATTCTATCAACTGCATTGTAATTGCGATTGTATTCTATGCTGCTATTTTAATTCGTTTTTCTTCTCAATAATACTTAATTATTGGTGTGGCTGTTGAGTAGAGACATAGCAAGGGGTTGAGCCCTACCGTAGAAACTGTTTTTTTTTTTGTGGCTGGTGTGGCTGTTGAATAGAGTCGTCAGCAAGTAATGCGGTCAGTTGCGAGTTCGAACCCTGCCAAGGGAACTTCTTTTTTTTTTAATTTATTTGTTGTTGGAATAAAAGGGTTCAGAGTATTTCCTAGTCGGGAGTTCTCGACTAGAACCTTTTACTTGCTTGGTGTTGCCTTTAGTACAGTAATTCGATTTCAAATTCTACAAGTGTTCATTATATTCAATTGAACTTCGTTCTTAGTTATTTAATTTAATAAAGTAGTGAGTAATTATGGTAAGTTTCGATCAAAAATGATAAAACAATTTAATATTCCTAGTAACCTGGACCACATATAAAAACAACATCCCGGAAGTCAACTAGAAGGATAAACGCGTGGCCAAATCGGCTGCGGCCTAAAACGTGATTAGTTTTTGAAATTGTCCAAGTTTAAATAAAAAAAAGATAAAAGAATTTAGAAAACTTGTGTAATGTTTTAAAATTAATTTTTATCTTACGATTTCTTTCTTTTTTAAAATTATAATCATTATTTAATTCTAATTAGTTAAATTTTTAATTCTTATTAATTAAGTCTTAAATTTTTATTCAAACTTAGAAGCACTGGGTTGTAACCGAGCTATACTAGGCACTTCTCGAATAATGAATTTTCGCACATTGTGTCTTTACTTTAACAAAGTTATTAAACAATCGTAGAGGGCCGATAGGGCCGATTAGCAGCGAAGCTTTTAAAATTTTCCATTCCACCCATTTAGGTAAGTTTACATTATGAAGAAAGTCTTACTTTTAGACCGCCGGTTTCATGTCATGCTTCTGATTTGCCCTCTGACCACTAACAGATAACCTAAAAACGTATTTCAACATTTCCAAACGTCGGTGTAGTGAATGTGCAATCTAAAATATATATATTTAAATTAAAAAAAATATAAGAAAACAATGGAAAAACCTTTCCAGTGCATATTATTCTTTTGTTTCATAAAATCGATTGTTGGAATGAAAGAAGGTAAGTTAACGCATATATTTACATTTCAAATATTCTTAGATTTATAATATAATGCTGATTTTGTCGACCTTACCATTTAATTAATCATAATTTACCTAGCACGAGGTCTGGCATATAAACAACAAAAATTAAAAACAATTTTGTTTTATTTTATATTTTTATACCCTGAACCCATCGTGTAACATGTAAAAGTGTACATAACAGGTAGAAGGAAGCTTCTCCGGTCCCATAAAGTATATATATTCTTGATCAGCATCAATAGCCGAGTAGATCTTGCCATGTCTGTTTGTCCATCCGTCTGTCCGTATGTATGAACGCAAGGATCTCAGAACCTATAAGAGCTAGGGACTTGACTTTTAGCTGTAGGTCCTCATAGTGCCCGCGCAGAATGGTTTTGTTTCCGATATTCGATAAATTGTCCCGTTTCCAACTAATCGCTAAAAATCGATATCGAAATCCTGGTTTTTCAGTTATTTTGGTAAATAATACGAGGTAGACACACCAAACTTGATATGTAGCTTCTAAAATAGTATATATATATTAAGTATCTTACATTTTATAGCTATCACCACCTCCTCGCTACTTACTCATAGATATAAATCAAGCAAGTAGTAGGGTTCAGCGTATCCCCTAATTGGGAGCTCCCGACGAGAGCCTCCGTTAATAATGTTTTAATTACATTCTGTGGGAAGTTAGTTTTGGTCCAGAGGCTTATAGCACTTAATTTAGAGTAAATTGTCAAGACTGCTTACTATAGAGTCAAAAAATTTAAATTTCCCGAATTTTTCAGGTCAGTTCTTTCAGAATTTGATGTACTTTTGTCCGTTACGACAAATAGGGTCATCTTTATATTTCGTCAAAAATCTTGGTTTTATTGTCAATTTATCAGTAATGAATGTTTGTTTGGCTGGCTTTAGGTGCAGACCTCAATTATAAAATGGAAAGTTCGCCAAATACAACATTATCAGTAATTTTGTCCAAAAGTTCTTCCATTATTATATATGTGATGCCGGTGATCCCATCGGTATTCCATTCAATTGTATAAATATTTTGTCATTGTATTTAAAGTAGAACTGAACTCTAAACTAGTCGTTGGCTTGTCGAAGAATTTTGAAAACAAACACGAATTTATTGTTTTAAATTCTTGCGTCCTGCGTTTTGTGCACACACATATGTAAACATTTACTTCGGCGATATTGTATCATTGATACAATAGCAAGCTTTTCCGACCCCATAAAGTATATATATTCTTGATCAGCATAAATAGCCGAGTCGATCTAGCCATGTCCGTTTGTCCGTCCGTCCGTATGTATGAACGCAAGGACCTCAGAACCTATAAGAGCTAGATACTTGACATTTTAGATGTAGATGCTCCTAGTTCCCGCGCAGTTTGTTTCCGATAATCAATAACTTACTCCGTTTCCAAGCAACCGATCAAAATCTTTATCGATATCCTGTTTTTTGGGCAATTTTGGTAAATAATAAGAGCTAGAGTCACCAAACTTGACATATAGCTTCTAAAATAAAATATATATATGCATTTGATGTTGGAAGAAGAGGGTTCAGGGTATCCCCTAGTCGGAAGCTCCCGACTAGAACCTCTTACTTGTTTTGTAATTTTATTTTAGTTCCTTTTTTTATCATAAGTACTTAATTGTTGGTGTGGCTGTTGAGTAGAGGCATAGCAAATGGTGCGGTCTGTCGCGAGTTCGACCCCTGCCAAGGGAACTTTTTTTTTATTAATTTATTTGGTGTTGGAATAAGAGGGTTCAGGGTATCCCCTAGTCGGGAGCTCCCGACTAGAACTTCTTACTTGTTTAAATTTATTTTGAATACTACTAAAGCCAACGAGCGCGTAGCGCGACCTGCATTTGGTGATGGAAGAAGAGGGTTTAGGCTATCCCCTAGTCGGGAGCTCCCGACGAGAGCCTCCGACTTGTTAATAATGTTTAAATTACATTCTGTGGGAAGTTAGTTTTGGTCCAGAGGCTTATTGCACTTAATTGTGAGTAAATTGTCAAGACTGCTTACTATAGAGTTTAAAAATTTAAATTTCCCGAATTTTTCAGGTCAGTTCTTTCAGAATTTGATATACTTTTGTCCGTTACGACAAATAGGGTCATCTTTATATTTCGTCAAAAGTCTTGGTTTTATTGTCAATTTATCAGTAATGAATGTTTGTTTGGCTGGCTTTAGGTCCGGACCTCAATTATAAAATGGAAAGTTTAATTTTTTCCAACAGTTCTTCCATTATCATTTATGCGATTACTGAGGAGACCGGTGATCCCATCGGTATTCCATTCAATAGTATAAATATTTTATTTTTGTATTTAAAGTACCGGTTTTTTTAAGTGACACAACTTTCTGAAAGAACTGAACTCTAAACTAGTCGTCCCCTTGTCGAAGAATTTTGAAAAAAACATAAATTTATTGTTTTATATTATTGCGTCCTGCGTTTTGTGCACACACATATGTAAACATTTACTTTGGCGATATTGTATTAATGAGAGCTCTGGGATTATGTCTTCTCGTTTGTTTATTTGAATGAATAAGAACAAATTGATTGTGCAAAACTAATTGTTGGTACACTGGTACCAACAAAATAGTAAAATAAGGAAAAACAGATGTCTGCCTTCAAGAAACCTAACATTTATTATCGTTGCATAAATTCGACTAATATCCTAATTCCACTATGCTTAAAAAGTGTTACATTTTCAAACATCACAGTTTGGTGCTCCATTGGCAAAAGTCGGTTGTCGGTAACATATGAGTGGCAAAACTACCGCTTCTTTAAACAAGCGTCGTTTACCTAAGCATCGCAAAATATCCCTTTCAAAACTGAAATAATACGGCCCTGAAGTAGGGTCTCCATGTAATGGACTCTTTGCGGGATTTGGTTAACATTAAATGTAAAGAACTGTGGGATTAGTACAATTAGAAATTATAACTTAAATAACCGTTTGCTTATGGTAATGATATTTTCAAATTTTTAATAACATCGAAACGAAATTCGATAAATCATCGCAAAAAACACGAATTGTTCGTGGCGAATACACACAATTTTTGAAAATGTCACATTTTTGAAATGTGGACAGTGAAATAATCTATAAAAAGTTTTTTATATTAAGACAAATAAATCTGCACATGAAACAAGTTTAAGTTTTAATTTTAAAAAAATCAGATTCTTCTCATATGGCTGGCTGGACGAAGAATAAATAGATGCATATGCCTTTTGCTACCACAGGTACAGAAGGGTCTAACAAAAAACTGACGGGTTTTGTTTTTTTTTTTTGCACACCTGTGCTGTAGGACGAGATGCACACAATTGCACAAATCAATAAGTCCGAGTGAGCCGCACTCTTCGCATGCATCATTCACATAGAGACATACATATATGTGCAGATATATGTATGTCTCTAGGCTGTAACGAACTCAAAACAAACATGCATGTGAATTTTTTATAGTTATGTATAGAATTACATAGTTTCTTTATTATAATTTAACTTTGACAATTACGTTGATTATTATAATATAATTTATTATTATTATGATTAAGTTATTGTATTATGGGATTCCTTTAGTTAACAATTAAAACTTTAAGACTATTTATGATGGCCAACGAGTTCTTTCGGAATCTTCCAAGCAGCCTGCCTTTTCTTTTTAAATTAAATCTTCTTTTGTTTGCGATAGTTGCACGCGCATGTTCATGCGCCATACTTTGTTCGTCTTCTAACTCATCAAATAAACTATCATTAACTAGTTTATTTAACACCTTGGTAAATTATGATAAATTACTTGCTGAACTCTTCCCAATTCCTTATACCAACTGCTAGGATTCTCATAACATAACTTTGAAAGCATTGGCACGACTGTCTTATGCATTCGTTTGACTTGACCATTTCCGCGCTTTATTGTGGTGGTTATTAGCAGTTGTGCTATGCCATAAAAGATGTGAGGCAATTGCAGTTATCAGAAATGATCAGATTCGCGCCTGATTTCCAAACAGAAGCGATTGCCTTTCTAAGTAATTTAATACTTTATTAACGCCGGTGCACCCGTCTACCACCACTAGAATGTGGTTATAAAGTTTGCTGGTTACGTGATCGATATGATAAGGCACAATTGTCTGTATCCCTTATCTATTGGGGTCAGAAATCCTTCCCTTTTCCCAGTTTTAGCACTCATAGCACTCATCCTACGCAACTATCTATGACTATTATTTCCGGAATAAAATAACTTTTCTCCACGAGATCCTGAGTCTTCTTGGCAGAAAAATTACCTTGCTTGTGTGCAATAGAATGAACTCCATATCCACTTGACACCGCACAACAATAAACTCACGATTGGATCTGTATACAAGATTTTGATTTTTAATTTAGAAATATTTTCACAGACCAAGAAACAAAAAAAAGTACATATTGAAATAAATTAACATATGGTTTTTATCAGCGCAGCATGGTAATTTGTGAATAACATTATTTTTGTTCATCAATAGAACTTTTGCTTTTAAAGTGCTGAAAAATGTTCGAAAAGTATCGTAGGCTACTTATATTTCTTATTTGTTTTATCAGTCTGAGTTTGAGAGGGGGTCTGTTAATCGTGGTACATATATATGTTAGAGATTTGTCTATTTTGGTAGGTTCTGATTGATGTATTTTTAAACCCCGAATCCATAAAAAATATGTTATATGAGTATAATGTATTTGTGCTAATGTATGAAACAGACAGAAATATTTTCATCAAAAATTTTGTTCACTATCCCTCCGCATTCCTAAAACACGGTTCAACGCGTCAACGTGCCCCATTTTGGAACCTGAACAACGCTTAATTTGATAGTCGAAGTCTTGCAATTAGATTGGCCAACTAGCTACACGCAAAGGAACTTAATTTTTCTTTATTGCCATTGTAAACGCATTGCAGTCAGTCCTGTGGTATCGGAAAATTAGCACAAAAATTAAGCCTTTTCCTTGTTCGGAGTTATAGTGCCCTTTTGCACTATA